CAAAATATAGTGTGGTGGGGGGGGGGGCGGGGGACGGGGGGGGGAGGAGTTATGTTATAGACCTGAAGGTAGTTAAGAAAATTGTCAATCAAATGCCAATTTGAACAAACCATAAAAAGACATTTTGGACACCATTGGGGAAAACCAAACATACGAGATAGGTACTATATGATATTAAAAAATTATTGTTAATTTTGTTGGGTATGATAAGATATTGTAATTATATATTTTTTAAATACTCATATGATAAACACATTAAAGTATTTTTAATTACAATGGTATTTATCTACCTTTGATTTAAAATATTCAAGCCAAAAAACTTCAGGGGTGAGGAAATAAGAATTTGAAAAAGTTGATCGTTGATGACACTGACTGATGCATACGAAGGACTTCATTCTGCTCCTCTCTTTACTCTTGTGGCTGTTTTATTTTTCATAACGAAAGGATAAAAATAATGTAAAATTAAAAAGAATAAAATGAAAGAGTGGGAAAAGGTCTTTTGCTTCTAGAAATGGTGGGTTAGGTAATTTAAAACAACTCTTCCACTAAGGACAACAAAAATTCTCAATGAAAGTGTTTGGATTTTAAAAGCATCAAAAGGTAAAAAGTTATTGCCTTAAAATCTTACATAGTGATGTATACCAATTATTTCTCAATAAAACTGGGAAGCGGGGGGAGTTAAAAAGTTAGTGCGGACTAACCAGATCGAAGTTTAGGAAGGCAAGAACCCAGAGAGATAAGTCATGCATGCAAAGCTGCTTTTGCCCTGAGAGTTTTTGTTTATTTGTGTACATGTTTGTTTGTGTTGGCTGCTCCTGAAGGAACAACTGAGAAATTGCTTAGCAGCAAAGCTGAAATTCCAGCACCCCTATGGGAAGCAGAGAACAATATTCATGACCCAGGACCCACCCCAGGGGAGAAGTCCAACACCCTTCCACACTTTAATTGGACCCTGAAGTTTTACTTTCTAAAGGTTTAGGAAAACCAGAAATAAACTTCCACCTAGAACTGCAATATGAGTCGAAGTGACCTGTCCAGGGAACCTCCAGCCTTGAGGTGGTCCTGGGCTAGACCCAGGAAGGTGACATAGTCCTAGGTCTCTTAATATTTCTATAAATAATTTTCCAAAAGTAATGTCTATGGAGAGTCATAAGTAACAACAGAAAATAGACCCACAAAGACTCGAGCTTTGAGAACTATCATACACTGGCCATGCAATATCTGTGATTGAAACAATGAAATACAAATTTGAAAACATTTGCATGACCAAGAAACTATAAAAGTTATATCATGGATTTGAAAAAGAGTCAAAAAGAACTTCTGGAATTGAAAAATTCAATAACCCAGATTACGAACTCATCGGATATGTTTGGCAATAGATCAGATACAACAGAAGAGAAAATTAGTGACCTGGAAGATAGAGAGGAAGACTGAAGTACGGAGAGATAAAAAGATGTAAAATAAAAAATACATATAGAAGAGACATAGAGAGGACAATAAGGTCAAATAACATATAAATGAAGTCCCAAAAGAAGAAGAGAGAGAGAATGGGGTTAGAGAATGCTTGAAGAGATGACTGAGAATTTTCCAGAACCAATAAAAATCATCGAACTACAGATTCAAGAAGCCAAATAAAGCCCAACCAGGATGAATACAAAAAAGTCGGCATCTAGACACATCATGGAAGAGCCAGAAAACCAGAGAAAATATGAAAATCTTTACAACTGTCAAAGAAAAAAGAATATTACCTTCAACAAAATAGGTTGACAACTGACCTTCTCAACAGCAACAATGGAAGTCGGAATGCAACAGAACAAAACATTCAGTGTGCTGAATGAAAATAAGAGCCAAACACAGCCTTCAGGAATTAAGGTAAAATAAAGATATTTTCAGGAAAAAAAAAGAAAAGAAAACTGGCTTTTATTTCAAACAAAAACTGAGTAAACTCCAAGCACAAAAGTGATTCCTGATAAAAGGAAGGAATGAAGAACAAAGAAAGAGTAAATAAGTATGAATATCCAAATGAAAACTAACTGTGTAAAATAACAATAATAATGTTTTATAGAATTTTAAATGTAGAGAACATGAAAATAGATAATTACAAAAATATATAAATCTGGAAGAGGTAAAAGAAATCTAAGTGTCCAATGGTCTTTGCATGGTCCAAAAAAATGATAAAAGTACTAATTTATATTAGACTTTAATAAGGCAAAGATATATGTTATAATAAGCACGAAAAGAATTGTAAAAAGAGCATATTAACGAACCAACCTAACGGTGAAATGGAAAAATAAAAAATAATCAATCCAAGAGGAAGGAGTAGGAGCAGGAGGAAGAGGAGACAGAAGAACACGGACCGATGGGACAAATCAAAAGCAAAAAAAAAAAAGTAGATTTAAACACAAATACATTGACGATTACATTAAATCTAAATGATTATGTTTAAAAACAAAATTCCCAGACTAATTAAAAACAATCACAAAGTTATACACTTTGATTATAAAGGTATAAAAATATTAAAAGTAAATAGGCAAAAAAAAAGCCAAAACATGCAAACTCCAAGAAAGCTGGTATAGTTATATTAATAGCAGAAAAAAAAAATTGAGGGGCAAAAAGCATCGCTAAAGACAGACATTTCATAATAATAAAAAAATTAATTCATCAGGAAGATCCAGTAATAATTTTAAATATGTATACTCATCGTGACTTAGCTTTAAAGTAAAAATTGACAGGACTGAAAGGGAAATATGCCATCTTAGTGTGAGATTTTAATACAATACCTCTAGTAACTGATAGAATAAGCAGAGAAAAAGATCAATAAGGATATAATAGATTTGAACGGTACAATTAACTCATCGTGTTATTGGCATATACAGGACACTGTACCTAACAAGAGCAGAGGACTGGGTACATTCTTCTCAAATGCAGGTGGAGCGTTTACCAAAACAGATGCACGCAGCCCGCAGTTCCGAAGGCTTAGGCAACATGTTGCCCATAGTTATTGATGCAGGAATGTGTACCTGACTCAAGATGAGCCAAAGCGTCTCTTCCCTGGATTTTGAGACTACAGTCCATGGATTCCATTAGAATTTGCTCTTTGTGTTGCACATTCTGTGGGTTTGGACAAATACGTGATGATTTCTATCTACCATTACACTATCATACAGAATAGTTTCACTGCCCCAAAAATCCTTCCTGCTCGCCTGTTCATCCCTTCCTCCCTCCTCACAAACAGGCAAACAACCACCTTTTTACTGACTCCATAGTTTGCCATTTCCAGAGCATCATGTTGTTGGAATCACACAGTGTGTAGCCTTCTCAGATGGGCTTCTTTGACTTAACAAAATGCACTTAACTGTCTTCCATGTCTTTTCATAGCTTGATAATTGCTTGCTTCCTTCCTTCCTTTCTTCCTTTTTGATTTTTAAGTTTTTAACAATACAATATAGCTCTACGCGATGAAAAATAAACTATGAAATATTTCTCTACTAGCGGGTGGGAGAGGGGTAAAGAGGCTTTGAGCTTCCTGAAGAATCTCAAGTCCCTCCACAGTCCGCCACACTTCTTTTCGGCCACCTTTCTCCTTTTCCTCTTAATGTCCTCATAGTCTGAGACGTTATCATTACAGAAGACCTCCTTGTCCCTCTAATATGCTTTTTGCCTTACAGTTCATTTTGTCGCATATGAGGATAGTGATGCCAGCTTCCTTCTTGTTAGCGTTTACGTGTCTTCTCTTTTCCCATGGTTTTATTTTTAACCTTTCTGTATCTATATCCTTACGTATCATTCTGTTAATGTAGATCCGTCTCTGTGATTGGTCCCCTGATCTCCTGATCATGTTAACCCAACGCTCTGTTCTTGGAACTGGCCCAAGCTGTCGGTTGTGATTATCGTCATATGTATATAGCTGGATTCCGTTTGTTGATATTTCCTTTGGAAGACAAAAGAAGGTTGTGGATAGACGTGAGGAGGGTGTGTCCTGGGGTGAGGTGACCCTCTGCGACTGAGACAAACCCTAAAACTGCTAAGCGTGAGAAACTTTCTGCTAATCTCAGTTCCTGCAGTTGGGGCGGCCCATATCCAGCGACTGACAGGGGCGGGGTACAGAGACAGTGTGACCCCACCCAGCATCTCCTATGGGCACGGCTGGTCCAGAGCAGCCCGTGGGATTGGCCAAAACGTTGTCCCAACTGCATCACATTTTGACTTCTCTCTCTGAACAAGACCACCTCCTCCACTGCCATTCACCGACGTCGATACTCCTATGTGCTATGCACGTCAGACTCCATCTCGCCCACTACTTCCGGAGAAGCCAACTACCAACAGAAGAGGCAGAGCCGGCTTCATGGGCGTCATGCAAACCGTGCGGTCACGCAGGCCTCCGCACTCAGAAGGTCCTCGTGCTCACTGGAATGCTCCGCTGTCACCATCGTGAAAGTATAAATGTTGATGGCCTAATAAATAAATGTGCAGAAAAATCTTAAGATCAATCACAATATCAAATTAATAAAGTATTACGCATTGCATTATATAAAAGCATGACACCAGAAACTGTGTACTTTTGCAATTTCTAAGTTTATGTTGTTTCTCATGTGTCACTATTATCCCATTACATTTTACAAGAAAAAAAAAATTTTTTTTTAAAGAAAAAAGCTTTATATTTTAGCGGCACTTTTATCCTAGGTTTTGATGAACGTGGCCACAGTTTTTTCATTTTACGGGAAGCCCTGAAATGATGTAGCTGGCCCTGAGGGTAAGGGGCATGGGCCACTAACTCGGTTGTCCCACTGGAGTTTAGAGGGGACGAGTAATAGTTCAAGCCATTTTCAGTTATTTATGGCTTAATGTGAATAAATTTCAGATCCTTTTATAAAAGAAAAATGTTAAATGTATAAGAAGAGATCCTCAGGGCACTGCATACATGGAAAATAGAGAGAAGACCTTTAAGATGGGAGAGGGTGATAAGTGGGGACCAGAGGCCTAAAGATAAACTCCAAAGACTCTTGTTCCTGACACCGATGGGAACAAAACACACGGCCCAGCTATTAAAGACTAAAAATTAGATGTCGTTTAAATGAGTCATAAAGAGAACTCCCTCCCTCCAGGAGTAACACTAACACCACACATAAACTACGCAACGTCATGTTTAAGGCAGGCTTCGAACGGCCTGGCTCTGGAGAATTGGGGCTGCTTTTTGTTATCTGGGGTCCTCTAGAAGGATGTCAATTTCTCAGAGTTCTAAGTAGACAAAAATATCTGGAGTTAATTAAAACGTGTCAATACTGTCATTTTCCATGAGGGATGGAAGAACCGATGCCTAGTTAGAATATCGGCAAAAGGCTAGTGAAAATACATCACTGGTAAATTAAATGCACACCTCGTGGGAGATGGTCGAAACTCCACTTTTTTTTACATTCTTTTTTTTTAAGCTGCACAAAGTTAGGTTTTGTTTTTTTTAAATTTATTTTTTAACTTTTTTTTATGATGACATTGGTTAATGAAATCCAATAGTTTCAGCTGTACACTTTAACAATAAAGCATATATATATTTACACTGTATGTTCACCTCTCATAGTTAGATTTCTTCCTGTTACCACATATTTGACCCCTCTTACCCCATCTATCTCCTCCCTCCCCCCTTCCCCTTACCTTCTGGTAAACACTAGTCTATTGTCCATGTCCATAAATCTCTGTTTGTCCTGCTCATTTGTTGCTTTTAGGTTTATATCCCACGTATAAGTGATACCATGTGATTTTCAACTTTTTCTGCCTGGCTTATTTCGCTTAGAATGATTATCTCGGGGTCCGTCCATGTTGTCGCAAACGGCAGTGTTTCATCTCTTCTTATGGCTGAGTACTATGCCATTGTATATATGTACCACAGCTTCTGTAGCCAATCATCTATCTTACATTCTGTTATGTATATACCTGATATTTCTATTTACATGGCCACTCTGTACACAAAGCGAGGATTCGTTTTCATGTAAAAGGAAAAGGAACTTCCACAGTTAAGTACATTCTAGCTAAAGGTAGTGGAATAAACCAAGCCAGTCTAATTTTAAACAGATTTCAGACTCAGAATCTACTGGAAAGAGGAAAAAAGAACTAACCCAAGAGACTCTGCCCACAGTGTTTTGACTATACATGCTCACTAAAAACAAAAACAAAACTGTAAACAAATATTGAACACTGATGAGCAGTTAACAATTCAAAACTACTGGCTGTGCTTTCTTGGATTAAGTAAGTGGAGAAATATATTAAGAATGAAGAAAGCCATGTTTCTCGTCCTTGGAGAAACGAGTTACAAAATGCGCAGAGGGCACTTGAAAACAAACCACGTGACGCTCATTTGGAATCGAAGATCGATATGAACTCATGTGGCAAAGTATAATTTTTTATGTTAAATTGTATTTTATTTATTCATTTTCATAAGGTGAGCGTGAATCTATTTACCTAATTTTTTAAACCCATTTTTTTTAGTGAATTAAGAGAGAACCAGCAGGAGGGTAAAGCTCGTTCAAAGAGAATTTGAGAGATTAAATATTGCAGGCACCGAATAAAGGACATTACAATAGGATTTCTGGGTTATATACAAAACTGGTTAATGTCATACAGAGCAAGAAACCTGTAACCTTTAGGATTTTGGAGTTTCATTTTTGATTTGTTTGGATTTTGGTTTTGGCTTTCGTTGTTTATTTTTCACTTGAAAGAAATTACTTACATCTATACTAGACAAAAATCTACACATCACCATGTAACTTTATAGAGGCTGAGCCCTATTCAATAGCAAATAACAAATCAAACAAAGGTGCCTTTGGCTAAAAACTCAGAAAAGCCTTGGTGGGCCTGTTAGGTGGTTTGTGGACAGAGTGTCCCCCGTGTGGGGAGAGGACAGAGGACTGTCTGCCATGAGGTCTGGAAGCTTTGCTACCTCAGTAGCAACAAGCACCTGGATCTTGGTTTCTAAATACCATTCTCCACTGAAAGGAGCCCAGTCTCTTGGAGGAAAGGTTAATTCCAGAGCTGGGGCAGGAAAAGTCTAAGAAGAATCTGAAATATATTTATGTGCCAGGAAGTTAAGGGAGTGCTCAAAGGATGTCAAAAGGACACAGCTGGCTTGAGGGGACTCCCGCGGGCCACATCTGGGGCAATGTGAGCATCAAAATAAATAATGATAGTAATGGGTTATCATCTACTGGGTATGTCCGTATGTCCTTATTTATATAAATAACCGGGGGGAAGGGGAAGCTCTTCTAACAGCAGAACGCCAGCCGATACAGGCAGAAGAAATAAGAAAATGAGAAAAGCACTATTTTGTAACCCTCACAGTAATAATTGATTCGGGCAAGAGCTATTAACGAATGCCGAAACTAGGGAACGGAAGTGTGATGAGAAATAGGATATTTATACCGTTTCAAAGTATTTCCCAAGAAATGACTGATTGATTACAAAGAGAAAAATCGTAACTTTACAGTGAAGAAGCTGGCAGGCACCACCTCCACTACGTGATCACAATTAACATCGCCGGTCATGAGGCAAATGAGTATCATGTGCTTCCCCGTGTAATATCCTGAGAAGGACTCGACGAATCTTCTGTGAGGTTATTGCCCAAAAATGCATAACCTAAGCTAAGCATGAAGAAACATCAGACAAACTCAAATGAAAGAACGTGATACAAACTAGCCTAGGTCATAAAAGACAAAATAAGACTGAGGAACTGTTCTAGATTAAAGGGGACTAAAAAGACATGGAAACTAACTGTACTCCATGATGCTGGGTTGGAAAATGTTATAAAGGTTATAAAAGACATTATTGGGACAATCAATGAAATTTGAATACAAACTGAGGGTTAATAATAGCAATATATCAATGTTAAGTATTCTGATTTTGTACACCCTGACATACTGAGGGGTAGATATTGAGAAATAATGTCTGCAATTGATTCTCAAGTGATTCAGAAGTAAATATTGCACATACACATAGCATATCGAATGATAAGTGTATATATCATATATCATATCAGAGAAATAAAGGACTTTGGTACTTATAAGATGATGAGGTTTGAAAGCACCACTCACAAGACAGCGCAATGCGGTTCGCTGAGGACAGGGAGAACTAGACCCTTCTGGCCTCCAACCTGTCACTGCGGTGACCAAGACCAGTGACCACACCCCCAGTTAGCTTACTTGACCTATTGACTTTTTCTCCTTGAAAAGCGCGTTTCTCTCAGCTTCCATTGGTGTGGCTTTTCTGATAGGTAGATAGATTAGATAGATAGATAGATAGATAGATAGATAGATAATAGATAGATAGATGATAGATAGATAGATAGATAGATGATAGATAGATAGATAGATAGATAAGATAATAATAGATGATTGACATGTGGATATATTAAATAGATGATAGAAAGATGATTGATAGATAAATAGATGATTGATTGATTGATACATAGATGAGAACAAGAGAGACAGGATAAACGAACCACTTCGTATCGAACCCCAGAGGGCCCTGGAGTTTGGGGTCCTGATTCCTGAGATTCACAGCAATACACTTTGCCAGTTAGTTGTTTATGCCGAAAAGTCTCAAAGGCCTTTAGAGGTAAAGATTTCTTTTTCCACAACTAAATGGCGTTTTTCTTGCTGTGAAATAGCAATACCACATTTTGCCACGTGGTGGAGCCAACACATCACCAAAGAGGCCTTTGGAGGTGCCCTTTAACCCTCATTGTCTGAGTGTGACATCATCCACCATTGTTCACAAATTGTTATTTTGGTGTGAAGACGTCACCAGAAGCTTATAGTCTTGTTCAGGCAAACTTGGTGATCTTTAAAACTCTCCAAGACTCAAAGAAACTATCTCAGCTCCACGAAAAGGGGGATTTTTCTCTCCACTGAGCCTGCCAGCCTGCTGGTGTGGAAAGGAGTCAGCGGGAGGCTTCGCTGTGAGCTGGGGCAGCTGGGGAGAAGCCGGGACGCACCGGCTTCTAAGAGTGAGCAGGCTCTGGGAAAATGGGGGTGTTGGAGGTCTGCGATCCTGGTCAGTTCTACGCCCAGGAAGGCGCCTCGGTGCCCCTGGCAGACCTGCAGCGGGGCTCAGGGCCCGCTCCACCCAGACAGCTGCCCCTTCCCTGTCCAGCCTGACATGACACACAGCCCTTTAACCCTCAGTGACCCTCTCCCTGCCCTTGCAAGGCCTGCAGGATGTGGCCCCTCCCCCACTCCCAGCCTCACCTGTGGCCTCCTCAGTCCCCAACCACCACGTTGCCACCATCACCCCCCCTGTTATGGCGCGAACGATTCTGAGACCCACGGAGCCAATTGAGATTAATTATGAGCTTTTATTAGCCGGCCGGGGACTGACTCTCTACCACGCAGGGCTAGAGATCAGCCCCGAGCTTCCAGAAGAGGCAGCTGATAAAGCTTAAGACCATATCCTGGTGTCTCCTGAACAAGCCAGCAGATTACAGAAGCGGAATTTGGCTGTTGGCATATCTTTGTCCGGAACAACACCCTTAGAATTGAGATTAATTATGAGCTTTTATTAGCCGGCCGGGGACTGACTCTCTACCACGCAGGGCTAGAGATCAGCCCCGAGCTTCCAGAAGAGGCAGCTGATAAAGCTTAAGACCATATCCTGGTGTCTCCTGAACAAGCAAGCAGATTACAGAAGCGGAAGTTGGCTGTTGGCATATCTTTGCCCAGAACAACACCCTTAGTTAACCAGTAAATGGATCACAGAAGCGGACATTGGCCATCTTCATATCTTATACAATACGCTTCCTAAACCACACACCAGCAAGTAGGACAACGTCTGGTCTCTAAAGATATTTCTTCCCTGTGGCTGACTTAGCTAGTTGGCTCACTTGAAAATTTTCCACCCTTAACACCCCCTTACCCCGTATCTCCACGCACGATTTCTCAAGAGGCCAAGGGAGTGGCCCCCATTTCCATGGTTTCATGACTTTGTTGATGGCCTCGAAACGCCCCAGGCATAGAGACAGGGTGGAGAGGCGAGGCTATGTGTCTATGGCCAGTGTGGTCCCAAGCAGACTCCCTGAAGAGGCCCCGCCCTGCACCCTTCTACCTGCACCAGCAGCAGCACCCACACTGAGGGATGGACCAGTCCAGAGTGTGGGGACGGGGGAGACGGCCGGGAATGCGCCAGGGCCTGTGGCCAAGAACATTCTCACCTTCTTCCTGGAGAGCACGGTACCAGGGTCCCACCCTGGGGAGGGACCCACCCTGGGGAGGGATCTTCTGTAAAGGGGCATGATGAACCCCGCCCCGCCCACCCTACACCCAGGCGTCTGAAACAACCCGGGCGGAGGTTCAGTCTGCGCTCCTCAAAACTCTCCAGCAGGGACCCAGGCAGCGTTTCCGCCACCCCACATCCGTGGCACAAACGTTGAAGACACCAACAAATTTTGCCTGGGGAAAGCTTGGTGCCTGTGATCCTCATTCAGTAAACCTCTGCCGAGGACCGCCAGGTGTCAGGGACTACGCCAGGGTCACCAGGTGAATAAGAAAGACACAGTCCACTTCAGGAACTGACAGGCCAGCGGGGACTGAGACTCACAAATGCATACGGCACCCGGTGATGAGTGCCATAAGAGAAAGTGCTAAGCTCATGGCGCTAACTGTTCATTATTGTGCTTTCCAAGTCATGTGCAAATGCACGACACAGAACATACATTCGAGAGCACTTATGTCTTAATGTGACTTGCATTTTTGATCAGTCTAGGGAGGAAAGAAATTCTAGGGAGACTTCTAGGGAGGAAAGAAATTCCTCCCAGACACTCCCTTCTGAGCATGAGTCAGGACGCCCAGGCCTCCCCAGCACAACCGGGTCAGAGGCAGGGTAAGTGGGCGCCACACCGGCAGCACCAGGCAGAGGTGGCACTGCTCCCCGCTCTGAGTCTGCGGCCCTCCTCTGTGGCCGCTGGACCTGCAGGTGCCACGGCCCTTGTCGGCCTCGCCTTCCCACAGCAGCTGGACAAGAGGAAAGAGTCCTGCCTCCTTCTCCACCCCTAAGCCTGTCACTGTTGCGATCCTCGATCCTCGATCCTCATTCTTGCCACGAAGAGCCGAAGGAGGTCTCTCTACGTCTTGAGTCAGAAGCTGTGTGGCCGCATCGCCAAGACGTGACTCAGACTCAGGCTCCTCTCTGAGGTCCCCTTGGTAATATTCCCTTATTTGGTCCCAGACAGAGTCTCCGTGTTCTCTCTCAGGACCTGCCAGACAGAAGAGCCTGGGTGCCCCTTACTCAGACGGTGACAGCCTGGGGTGGCCTCTGGAGCCAACCAGCTCATCCTCAGAAGAGACTGATGATGTAAAAGAATGTGTTTCCGGTCTTTAAATCTTGTGGATATTTAAGTTATAAATCATCTGGAGAATGATTTACAACTTAATTAAGCTTCCACCAGCTGCATCTGAAAGTCCAAATTAGTATTCTAAAAAAATAAATGTTTAGGTCCACAGAAGAGTCTCCTCTGTATATAGACCCAGAGGAGAAAAGAAAAATCCAGAAACAAAACAACACCTCCCGGAGGAGGAGGAAGCGTGGCCGGCAGAAATATCCCGGTCATTCACCTGCAAACGCTGGCCCCTGGGACCAGAAGGTGGAAGCAGGGGCCATGTTGAACCAGGCAGGTCTGAGGCAGAAGCTGCCCAAAAAGCCCACACTAAGGTACAGGCAGAGAAAGAGGAACTGGTGACGGAAAATGAGAAAGAACAGCCTGGGAGCCAGGAGAAAAACCAGGAGAGAGAGGCAGAGGCTAGAAAGGTTTTCCAGGCGGGGATGGGGAGGAGGCGGGTGGACCCGCCTGGCGGCCGCAGGATCCTCCATAAGGCGAGAACGAACGAGGCCTTCGGGGCATCTAGGATGAGGAAGCCAGCAGCGATGTGGCCCCTGCAGTTTGCTGTGTGCCGATGAATGAGCCAGAATGCGCGTTTTTGCCCCATACGCTCTGCAAACCACATTCTCCGTATCATTCTGCCCCAAGACAGACCTTCCCAAATGCAGCCTGGTATTCGAATTCCGGATCCGCCACTCACTGGCCAGATGGCCGCCTCTCCGGCAAGTTACTGAAACCCTCAGTGCCTCAGTTCCCTCATCTGCAAATGAGGGAAAAAATCTCTCTCTCTCTCTCTCTCTCTCTCTCTCTCGTAGGGTTAGAGTGAGGATTGAATGCATGAATATGCACAGAGCGTTCTGGATGAAGACATGCTCCCCACTCCCCCCCGCACCCCACCCGGCTGCTCCGGCCAGCGACCACAGGCAGAGGTCCTGGGCGGATGATTTCTACGCTTTCTACACAGTGCAGATCTCCAAAGGGCCAGCTCTGCTCTGGAGTCACCACTGGGCTGGCTGGGACTTTCTCAGCGGGGGCCTGCGAGCTGAGGGTCTTCCTGTTCCCTCATCTTTCTTCCTCTCTGTCCACTGATGTCAGACCCACACGGTGACCTGAAGGCTCCCCTACCTCATCTGCTCCCGCTCCCCTTTATTTTTCCCAGGCATTACCCCCAATAAGTCTCTCGCATTTCTGTGTTGTTGGCATTTGCTCCCTGGAAGACCTTTGGCAGACTAGGCTAGACGGAATTCTTTGGCACAGGACTCGTCAGAGCCTTTAATATAATAATATACATAATGACTCGTTAAGAAGGGAACCTACTATGAAGCGTTTCCTGCATTTATTCGACCCCTAACCACTAACATCCACCCACACACACTCCATCCATTCCTATCTCGTGAAACATAGGATCTGCTGGAAAAAGTTCCGTAGACACTGCACTAGAAGTGTTATTTCCCCATTTTAAGAGATGAGATGACTGATGGCTAGTAATTTAAAAATTGCAAAGAACCCCATAAATACAAGACATGTTAGTGCTAGCAAAGTTATGATTTAGAGGGCCTGCTGTGAAACCGCCCCCCAGAAACGGTGCTTGGGGGGTCAGGGGCAGCAGCTGTAACACCCTGAGCTCCGCCTGACTCATGTGGGGGTTGGCAGAGGGCCCAGGAGACTGGGCTTTTTGAAGCTTTCCTTCTGGAGTTTTCCTCTCTCTCCTACGCTCCCAGCCTCCCGTCACGGCCAGGCCCCTCCCACCTCCTCTTCAGCACTCGGATCCCACAGGAAGCCCCGCCCACGCCCCGCCCCACCCCGTTCTCTCTTCCGGCAGGCGGGTCCCACCTCCGTGCTGCAGCCATAGGAAAGCAGAAGGCCTGGGACCCATCGCTCCACAGGGGAGAACTCTCTAAAACAGAACTGTTCGCTGCAACTCTGTGGAATTCAGATTCTCTGAATCACAGATCCGATCACAGACCTGAATGAGAGAGAAGAAGAAAGGACTGGCTCTTCCTCAGCCTCAGTCCTAGTGACAAAGCGGCCCCATGCCATCCCCTTTGCCCTCCTAAGCAGAGCAGAGAGACGGCAGAACTGTGGACTGCGGGGTTAGGGCCAGGGAGCTGCCTCACCTCAGCAGCCTCTTTGCTGGGCTTCCGTCTTCTCGTCTAAAAATGGGGAAATAATTGACCAATGATGAAGATTCAATGTGCAAATGTGCACAGAGCGTGGAACTCAGTGCCAGGCGCATGGGGGCGCTCAGTTCAAAGGGTGGCTTCAGATGGTACGTCCAGAAGCTGAAGATCATGCCTCTGATGCCTCCCAAGCATCCAGGGCCATGGGGGTGGTGCGGCCTGGACGATGGGCTATTTCGCCTCTTTTCATCTGGAGAAAATTAGCTAAGGAACAGAGATTGCCTTGCTGTGGTCCTCTGAGACATACACATTCCTGCCCCACCCCCAACCCCCCCTCAACTGCTGGCACTCAGGGCTGTGGCCCATGCTCAGGCAGCTTTGGGTAATCCCAGCTGCTTCTGACTCACCCACTGAGGCCCTGAGGACTCACACCAGGAAGCTTCCCCACGGTGAGGGGTGAGGCCGGAGTGTGTGACTGTCTGTGCCCCTGTGTTCCTGCAAAAGGTATTGTGTGATGGGAGAAAGAGGAGATGTTGCCACATCCTGTGAGACTGCATTGTGCGAGAGGCTCTGAAACATATAAAGAGCATGTTTATTCAGGTTTAAAAACTGGACCTTGTCCAGTGGCGGGTTGCGATCATTGTGTGCATCTGCAAATACATCTGAGTAGCTCAGGACAGCTACAGGCTCTTGTGAGTGGGATCCTGTGCACAGAGGCCCTCGAAGGTTGATGAACCAGCAGCCAGGGCCGCAGGGAAGATAGAGTTCCTGGCTGGGGAAGGGCAGTCCCCGGGGAGCTGGGAGGCTCTTCTGCCCCAGGGCTGCAAGGAGCTCCTGGTCTGACTGTGCCATCAGGGCTGGTCTGCCCAGTCATCTGTTGCTTAGAGGACTCGGAGGAGAAGTCAGGGCGTTCCCAGGTGCTCTGCCACCCTGGGCCAGTTGACAAGCTTTCTCCCAAGAGCCCAGCAGAAATGTGGGTGGGCCCAAAAGAAATCGAATGGTGAAACAAATCAACAGAGCCTAGGAAGGGCTGTCTCTTTCCTACGTTTTCGATTGTGGTGGTTTCATAAAACCCTTGCACGAGAAACCTTCCAGTTAGAAATGAATTCCTGTGTCACCCGTGTCATCCAAGGGTACAGAAAGCAGAGCCTAGTGGCGGGCAGTGGTACCTGTCCATCAAGCAGAGCCCCCAGATGGCAAACCGGAGATGGAGGATGGCAAATAAAAACACAGCCGGACTACGATTAGGGAAGAATTTAATTAGAAAGAATTTAATTAGAAAGATAGACCATTGCAATAGGGAGAACTCTCCAGTCTGTTGGCACAAGAAACGTCAAAACCTGTAGAGAATTTTTATTAGAGTTTATTTGAGCCAAAACTGATGACATGTGCCTGGGAGCAAGATGTCAGATGCTCTGAAGAATAACAGTTCTGCAGCTTCTTTTACGCATTTGAAATTAAGGAGGAAATATAGGGAAGATGGGAGAAAGCAAGGCCCAGCCAGGGCTTGAATCACAAGACGGTGCTTTCTTAAGGGTGGTTATGCCTTCCAGGGATATTACTTCTGGCATCTCGAAGGTGCATTAACCTAGACGCACAATAATGGACAAAGCTTGGTTTCCAACCTTTCACTAAAGAAGTTATGCCTGGATCAAGACTCCCCACCACGATTCCTACCCAGTTAGGAATTTATGATTTATTCTAGCCCCCTTTTTTATCCACAAGTCTCAGAAACCTCCGAGTGTCTCGAAATCAAACGGAAAAAGAGTTTTCTTTTATGAGGTCAGCATCAAGTGCCCCTATAGCCTCCACTTACGCAATAAAAATGCCTCTATTTTCTTCAAATACTTCTCACTCACTTCATTTATTTCTCCATCATCCAGTGAGAGCCTATGAGGTGCACCCGGCATAAAAAGGCCTGTCCACAAAGTGTCCGCACACGGCAGAGTATACGGATGTCATATTATAAAGTTGTACACCTGAAATTTATGTTATTAACCCATGGTACCCTAATAAGTTTAATTTAAAAATACTGTGTTAAAGGGTAAAATAATGACTTTCAAACAAATATAAAAGGAACGTATGTCAAACATTTTATTTAACTCATTAATGGATGACAAAACCAGTAGGTGTTTTTAAAAAAAAAAAAGTTCAAAGAAGAATCTAAAAGAACAGCAATTTAGGAATGCAGAATAGAAATTTGCTAAGAGTTGCAAAATCAAAGGAGGCTGTTTGGTTGCACTTCCGTCAGAGAAAATCCATTTGTAGATATATGGACAAGAGTTATTTGCATTACTCTCAATTTTCTACAACTTACAGAGCTGTAGACCAGCTTGAAAACTATGAAAGGCACAGACCACTGCAGACCTGATTCCCTGAAAGGCGCCACCCAGCATTCCATGGCACAGCCACGATTTTTTTTTTCTTCAATTCCAAAGACGTAAGTTTTTCCTGACAAGTAGGTCATTGTTTTGCAGGGAAAATCCCAAATATTCATATCTCAAGCTATCCTTCAAGACCAACTTAAATGTTATTTTCTCCACAGAGCTTTATCTAGAATTCTTTCCTCAGGCGAAAAGATAATTTTCCAAAAAGGTAAAAATCATGACTTTCATATGGGCATAAAATAAATACATTTTCAAGATTTCATTTACCTCATTAATTAAATCATACGACTAAGCAGATGTTATAATTGGTTCAAAGGAGAAATCAAAGGAGCACATGTTTATTTAGATGAAGTAAAGAAAAGTTAAATGAATGTGCAAATGGACTCGCTTGGCTTCTCCAGTGGAGCGAGAGGTCCCTCCACTGGACAGAATTAATTTGCATATTTATAGAAAGGTTCTTTTGCATTGCTACGGTGATCTGCAACTTAGGGTTGTAAAATCACTCAAGACAACGAAAGGCTGTGATCAGATAACCTGGAAGGAGGTGCTGTAAACCAGGGTTTCTCAGCCTGGATGGCGTTATTGACTCTTTGGACCAGATAGTCCTTTGTCGCAGGGAGCTTTTTTAAGATTATTATTAAGATGTTTAGCAGCATCCCTGGCTTCTACCCAATAGAGGCCAGTAGCACCGCATTGATCTAAACAATGCGTAATTTTCCACTGAAACACAAATTCTTCTGTGTTAGGGAAGGAGAGGAGGGATGCACCGCTAGGCACATGCCCATTTCTCTGTGTGGGAGCTGAGACCCTCATGCTATCTGCCGGCAGAGTGGTCACAGTGCCCTCAACCGCGGGCACTGTTCTAAATACTCTACCAGTATTGACTCGCTCCTCCCAGTTAAATGTGCGTTTCAGATAAACAATTGATTTTTCAGTATCAGTACACCCCCATGCAATATTTGGAACACACTTATTGAAGGGGTTCAGAATAGGCCTCCCCAAGATGTGCCATTTTGGCATGAGCTAAAGGCAACAGAGACCCTGCTGGCTCGTGAGAAACTTTCACCTCTCCCTTAAAGAATTTAAAATAGGGGCCTTGACCATAGTAAGAGTGATTACCAGAAATAGTTTTCTATGACTCATCCATAGTGGAGCCAAACATCTAATTACTGAACGTCTGCTCTTCTGTGGTCCTGAGAATGACCTCCCCCTGTCTGAAGTCCAGACACCTGACCTCGTCCTTAGCTTAGAATGTCATATACACCTGATTTTACCTTTCTGGCTCATGTATGTGGGGTTCCCACATGTATGTATGTAATTAACTTGGCTGTTCTCTCTTCTTAATCTGTCTCATGTCTATTTAATTATTAGACCAGTGGAAGAACCTAGAAGGGTAGAAAGTTTCTTCTTCTCCCAAACGTACACTAAAAGATGATTGTTTATTTGAAATTCAGATTTAACTGGAAGGAGGTTATTTTTTATTTGCCGAATCTGTCGCCCTCTTTGTGATCAAATAGCTGCCAGGCAGCAGCGTAGCATCCTGACTATAACGGGCCTCGGTGACCCCGAATCCTCGTTCTGCCTCTGACTAGTCGGGTGACATTGAGTAATGTCATGGAACCTCTCCGATCCTCGGCTTTTGCATCCGTAGAATGGGACAACAGCAGGACAACCTTCTCACAGAGTTGCTTAGGGGATTAAATGAGATCACATCTGCAGAGCCCTGAGGACACAAAGTCGGGGCGCAGCGGGTGGCAGCTCATTTCGTCTCCTCGACCTCCCTCCCTGATGTACTTACTGACGCCCGGGGCATTTCCTGGAGAGTCACGACGGCCCCCGCCCCGGGCTTTGCTCAGCGCCGACCGTCAGGAGGTGGGGTGTGGTGCGCGTCCCGGCTCTGCCGCCGCGGAGCCCCGCGTCGGGCGCCGAGCGGCCTGCGCCATCCCGC